TATAACATCCTCAGGACATCTCGAGGATGGACCACCCCGAACTGCCCTTAGATTTACTTTGACGGTCCTCGGGATTGTTGTGCTCGGGTCATTTACTTGGATCATTCCGATATACTCCTAAGTCGAAATACGTTAGTTCTTGTCCAGTGAGGATCCTACATTTACTCAATCACTCTAACCTAAAGAATCCTAAGTCAAAGAGGATAATTGTCTTGGATAAACATAAATTGAGACTCCTAATTATGATCCAACACTTATCCCAACAATCGCTCCTAGAAATAAGGATACGAATCCTACTTGAACTACACTACCTACCAATATAAATATGGCACTCAAATTCATTATCAATGTACGTTTTACACACATATATTTCTCCAAAATTTCCTTTCTGACTTAAGCATCGGAGGGGCGACGAGGACACACCTCGAAACCTTTGTTTCAGGTATCGGAGGAAGACCCTGTTAGTGCTCGGCCTCAATCGTCAAGCTCGGAACTCATCAGGTGCGATTTTTGGTAGCATCAGTTTCTAATATTTTTCTATGATTATTTAATTTAATCTAATTGATATTTTAGAACTTGATGTATATTTACTTAAAGCGGAAGACAATCACAAAGTAACATTATAGATTATAGTTGATTATTTTTAAAAGTTAAATACCTTTGCCCCCGTTTGAGCCACATTATTTTTTTCATTCTCATTTTTCAATAAAATAGTATTTTCCATCATATCAATAATTTTTCCTTATTTTTCAACCACATATTTTCCATCACATCATTTCAAAAAAATGCATTCTCTCATTTTAATGTGCACCCAACAGTCTCTAATCGCAATGGCCAACATCATTAAATATGACATTTAATGATTTAACACACTTAAATTCAATTAATTCCAACAACAGTTAGCACAATTTGTTAAGGGGTAAAATTTCATATCGAACAAAAATGAAAATATAAAACCAATTTATAAGGATTTGAGCTATTCTTTTTAACAAGGTTGATATTTTAAGATGGAATCTCAAACTTTAACACAATTATCATTGGTAATATATTATGCGTGCGTGTATGCTTTCTGAAATTTGTTCACCATGGATTTTTTAAAGCTAAATGAAAATACGGCATTTTATTTTTTTATCTCTCGCAAGTTTTTTGAAGATCTTTTTCTTAGTTTTGTTTTCGAAAGTTTGAAATTGAAACTAATGAATTTATGAGTGAGATACACTATGATTAATGGATATAAAAGAGTTGAATATGGCTCTTGCATTCTTCTTGTAACTATAACTTTCATTAGTTCATGATACTCGAATTTTTTAACTGCATTGTCATAGTTTTAAAATTGTATTGCATAATTTTTCCTAATTTCAATTCTTGTTTATGTTGTTCTAATTATAATGCTTTTCTATCTTCTCAAAAAGGAACAAAAAATAATGTTCAACACAAGTTATGCTCGTTATTGAGTAGAGCAGCATTTAAGCGGTTTTAATCTATCGGTTTATTTATTTGCTTAGTATTTTTTCATTATCGTTTGAACTTTCTTTGTCGAGTGAAGTAGATTGTATATATCATTTCTTTTAAGTGATAAGTTTTGTCTCTCGTATAGTCCATTTTAATTGAAGGTTTTCACTATTGTTAGACTTTACCAATTTTGCACATTAAACTACTATTGTTTTTTTCTTATTTAGAGTGTGTTTGGTGGGGATTAAAATTAGATGTATAGATTGTGATAGAAGTTTTTGAAA